TACATTATTACCATATTATCATGTACTAATGTACAAGTTATCATGTCTAGACCATTATGTATATATCACCATGTACTTATAATCATTTACATTTAATACACGTACCCTTATCTCAGAAATTATTGTCATGTTAATATATACATTTATTTAAAAAAAAATAAAAAAAGCAATTATCACATCCAAAATAAGTAAAATAAAGAGTGGAACATATGAAGGAAAAAACCCTCAGCTTGAGTATTTATTTGAAGAGCACACAATATCTCCATTTTACGACAACTGTTCTATATTTACGACGATATTCAGTGTTTCGTCACCATGGTAATGGGTATCATGTTTCAGAATTGTCTTAAAAACATTGTAACACATGATTAACTGCCTCTCTCTCCATCTTTATATAGATGTGACAAATTGAGGCCCGGCTTCCCTTCTCACCAAATACTAGGCCGATTGTGATCCGCAGAGTAACTCATTTTCAATTGGGCAATATAAACGCACATTTTATCAATTAATCAACTATTTTAAGTTTATTATTGTCTTTCAATTGTATATAGATAGCTATGAAACACCTAAGAAACTGACTTTTAATGACTATCGTGTATATATTATATCAAATTATTTATTTATTTATTTTGAACGCGAATGTGCTTATATTCTAGAACTTTTCCAGGACGTTGTTTTACTTTTTGAAATTAACAAATTTACTACATATAGTTAGCCAAATATTCTTACTATTAAATGGACCAGTCTGCTTCTTGTTGTTTGTTTAGTGACATCTTTTATGAGATCATTCCTATAATATTTAACTTTTTCGGTTATCGTTTTTGAAGTGACCACATACATTTATATCTTTTTCTAGATCCCCAATTAGGCAATTACACTTTTATTGATTGATATTATGCATCAAACCACAAACAATAAACAATACCAGATACAATGTTTTTTGCAGAAATTTTAGAGAAAATTGAACTGTTTTATTTCCTCGACCCGGCGTAAGAACCTCAGTACTAAAACAGGCCAAACTCGATTAATTTCAAGAAAATAATAGGTATCAAGTTTCACGTTACTGCTGTATTGAACTTAAATAACAATGGTCGACTTCAAACTGTCGTCTGGCAAAAACAATATGGCCGGCGTTATTGACACAGGACAAAGTTGTTTCATTTTTATAATTTACTAATTCATAATGATGTTCCTTTGTGTTAAAGCAGACGACATTCAACGAACGCTTTATAAAGTAAAAGTTTTGCAGACGTATTGACAATCGTGTCAAACATGAAACAGCAACATTTGTTTGAACGTTTGTAATTTTAGTTATAATGGGTCAATGGTTAATTTGTGACCTAGATTGCCTGCAGTAATGATCTTTCAGAATTTAACCGATGTTTTGTGTTTGTACCAGCATATGTTATCACGTCATCGTTTATTATTAGAATAGAATCTTTACCTATATAAATGTTATTTCTAAATGTTAATAATGATGAACTTTGTAAAAAAAAAGTTTAAAGATATTCTAATTTCTAGACGGCTCTAGAGGTAAAAATGTCGCATTATTTACCTTTCCATGATTGATCAATTAACATGCACGTGTTGTAATATCTTCTGTACTAGATTTTGGTCGGGCTGGACAGATTTGAGTGATTATTGTAGTTAATACCTCAGAATTAGCGCAATATTAGCGCATGCACCTTGTACAACTTTCCATGTCTGAAGTCATCACTCAACTTATCACATAAAATACATTTACAACCACTTATAATCTTGGCAATTTTACTTTCGGTTCGCCTAGCAAAAGACATTTCGTGACAATACCTATCAGGCTGTCGTCTGATCCGAGATCTGCAGCAAATTTCTCGATACAGAGGTGCTTGCCATCTTGTTCGCGCCAAACTTTATTGTGTTTGCTTAAAATGGAAAGACATTTCATTACTTCAATATTACAACAGTCATGCGAAATCGGATTTAGGCGCGTGAATATCGTGATTTAGTTTTTTACTTTGACACCGGTTTGCTTGATGATATCTATGCATTCCGCTTGTTTTAAGGATGTGTTTAATCGAACAACAGCTATGCCAACATTACAGGGAATTTTGTGTCCTGAAAAATTTCATTAATTGAGTTTAATACGATCATTTGATGAAATGTTTATAATAAATCTAGATAATCAATCAATATCTTTTTTAGTCTTTTTTTTAAGAAACAAATTAAACCGGCGTCTTTTTATCACACTATCTGAAGCATTCATGTTTATAATGAATCATAAAAACACACTTTTGATCTGTTTGGTTAAAAGGAAAGACCAGCTTCGAAGAGAAAATCGGTTGTGAGTAATGTTTACATTGTAGTCTCGTGATTCTGGCGATGTTAGGAGTATCGTGTGTTATCCCAGGAAATTTCACGTGTAGAACAAACATCAGAGGTAACACAATATCTCTGACAGCTGTTTCTAAGAAATATAATCTACACGTGTAGAAATTCACGTCTGTTTCACAGCTCTGATAGTAAAGTCGTCTGCTACAGAAGCGTTTCAGAGCGTCCTCGTTTCTAGCTTTCTGCATTTGTTATTATTGTACTTTTTTCTTCAAAGTTTAAACGTTTCGTATATAAAAAGTTTGATTAAAAGGCACCTTTGCAAATTAGATTAACTTTACTTGCAATATAATTCTGATTATACCTTTGTGAAAATGAAAATTACTTTTTGTAGCTGTTGAAATTCGTAAACATGTACACCCAAATTAAGGCAAGGTTACTTCGTGCAAAAATTACATAAAAGTAAATCAAGCCTCCCGTATTATTAAGAAAAGCGTTATAAAACCTGATCATAGCTATATAAAACACAATACCAACGCTGCAGAGGCAAATCATTGTAACATTTTGACTTTTGAAATATGCCATTAAAGATGCGATCAAATTTGATATTTGAAAATACGTGTACTGATTATTGTTATACAATCTCTTTTTAAATACAATATAAACATAGTCTGAGTATCATATTAGTAATTTATACAGTATGAATACAAAATGTAATTTAAAAAACCTAGCTAGTTTCTCAAGGACCAAATTGACGTCACCAGCAATAGGCAATGCAGGTACCCGAACTTAGTTTGTGCATTATTTTATTTAAAATAGTCGCATTCAGTCAGAGTTTCGTAGATTTTACTAAATTTCTTCAATAGAAGTATTTAACCCAAAGATAAGCATAATATATCTTTAATACAGCGCAACATTTACTGATAGTCAACCAATGGTGCATTTAGTAGAGTCAGTTCTCTACCTTTTGATTGTATTAAAATTGCTATTACATAATTATAGTTGAAATTACTATTACATAATTATAATTGAGAACAATAGATTCTGGTGCATCCTTTAGAGTCCAAAATCTACATTGTATCTAAATTACGTTAAAATGTAGGCATAGTAGGATACCTATTACTGGCAAGTATGACATAGAATGGTCATTGTCACCAGGCCATATATTCTGACCTGGTTGCATTCTTATTATACACGTCGTTTGTTTTTTGAAAGATTTTTTTAACGCTAAAACTCAACTCTTTCCACATTGACGGCGACACGGTATGAAAAACTTTTTTTATCCCGATTTTTTTTTTCATTTTTTCTTTCTCAAATAATTTATCTGTTTCACATCAGTTTAAACAAAAACATCTTACAAGCGCTGTTGGAAGTGAACGATTCGTTATCAGATAACTGGGCCATGATTGAAGTCCATCACCCTTCAGCCAATTTCTTCCTTACTTATCATTTTACATCTATACATACTGGCTTCCATGAGGAAAAGTTTATCTACCACGTGTTCGCAGTTTTTTTACCATCATATTACTTTTTTTTCCTTAGCTCACAGAAAGAAAAGTGCTTCGGGATTTTGAACGGTTGTTGTGAAAGGTGAAGATTTTCATATGGAAGACAGATTTTTGAAAATAACTGATTCATTATACTATTTTTGACTTCTATGCCAAAATGGTATACTACGAAATCATTATCATTAAAAGAGTTAAAATTTCGCAGTCTGCGTTATTTTCTTGTTGTTATGTTGTAAAAGGCATTCAATAAATGAGAGAGAATCCTTTATCTTAGTATGATGGGGTCAAATTTAGTGTGTTATATTATAGTAAAATGCACAATGAAATAGGGTAATATAATACAAAGATATTTGATCAAACATGAATGGAACACACTGTCAAATCGATTATGTATGCCCAATTAACGTTTCCATAATTCTGTAATAATTTCAATGAATCATTCCTTTATAATGTTATACTACTAACCATTTAAAATGTGCGGTGCTTTTTTATGAAAATGTGCAGATATACATGTATGTCTAACAAAGGTCACGGCGTCAAGTAAAATTAGACCAATGCTTAAGTATTAGTTGATGATAACATTAACATACAATAGTAATAAGATTAAATTTGACCATATGTAAATGTAATTTCCCCAACTAAAGGACTGGTTAATCCATCACTTGTGGTAAAAACAATGCCAACATCATCTACCCCACGTGCTCAACACAAGTTTAAAGAGAAGGGGTATTATTCATAAGTGAGATGACATGGCAAAATGTAATAGTTGTAAAACACATTATCAAGTTCAGGATTGACGTATAGGAGGAACGCATTGCACGTTGTCGAATAATTTGAACCCGGCACACTCTGACTAAAACAATTCAATGTAATTACTTGGCCACAGTAGTACACAAATATTCTTTTAAGATTTTAAAAAGGTTTTTCGCACAATTTCATTTGTATTCTAACACGTCATGGCTATTTTAGTTAGAATATATCTTACAATTTATTTCGCATTACTTGATATAGAAAGCATTGTTTAATTAAATGACCATAAGATTCACTGTTATTTCTTATCCTAAGTGCACATCGTGATAAGTCAAGATTCATCATTTCGGACATGGCAATGTTCGGATGATGATTTTAAAGTTGGTTTGTTTTGTTGGAACACTGTGATGCTAAATATACAATCTGAAAACTGTAAACATAACAAATTTTATTCGTATTTAAAGATGTCATAATTTAGAATAATCTATGCATGAACTATTTCATCATTCTAAATCGGTCATCGTGCAACATAAGTTTTACAGTCATTCAAAATGACCGCTACATATAAAGCATTTGCATCCGGTTTGCTACTAATTAACTCACAAAGATAATTGTTAATGTGATTATGTATGCCAATGTTTTATTTACTATGACAAATATATGTAAAATTCTGGTGTAAATGAAATAATTTAATATAAATAAACTTGTCTAAAACAACTTGAACCATCGTATACATATTCTAATGAATTCATTGCAAATTCAATGAAATTATGATTTTTTAATAATGTAGAACAAATTAATAGCAAACTGGTACAACAAAATTATTGTGTATGACATTAAAGCTATGAATTCGCTACTCGTAAAACCCGAAAAGAAAAATCACACAGCCTAGAAGAAAAAGAAAACATTCTTACCAATAAATGTATTTTAACACGCAACAAAATTACCCAAAATATATTATCAATACTGATGTAGTGTGAATTAGTTTTGCCCTCTTCATGCGTAAAATCTCACAATACGTCTGTATACATGCTATAGTGTAAGTTTAATTAGGTAATTGATTTAATTCAAGTTTTTAATATTTTAATAAATTACATGTAATAATCTGATTCTACGTTTTGAATTTAAAATTTTTGAATACAAAAATAGATATAATGAGTGGGAGAATTGTTCGCCATAGCCTGCATGTGCTGAATAAGGAAATACTTATCTAATTTCACAGTTACACTCCCATTCATTTTTCTAGATCATATTTCTAAAACGAAACGTAGCAATAGCAGAAATTGTATTAAATTATCTTTAAATGTAATGAACATCTCACGGATATTCTATCTACGTTAGGCGTGTATTACCGTCTGTCCAAGTAAAATCCGTGAGTGACATTGTAAGGGAGTTACTTTTAATTTTTTCAGTGTTACATTCGATGGTACAAATGTAACCACAAGACACATTTCTCATGAAAAAAATCTGTTTCTCATGACACCCTTATTCTATAATGAGTTTTACAGTCATGTCTAATGGTTATGGCACAGATATATCTCTGGAATTCTTTGCAAATGTGAATAATAAGGACATAAAAGACGTAACAGGGGGAAAGCACTAATCTAGCGTCACGAGGTCAATAACGTTTCTTTCTATAAATAGATATGGTCATGGCAGCGCGCGAAATCTGATTGTCCTTAAACTCTGATGTCATTAAAAGCTAATGACGTCGTCTATAAACGATATGGCACTCGTCAAGTGTCTGAACCATGGAGACGGAATCCAAGTTAAACATACACTCAGTACAATCAAACCTTCTTCATCACATCATAATCTTTGGTATTATTTCATCTCGAGGTTTAACTCTCAATATTTATAGTCGGTAACTTTCGGTCACCATCGTAAATATATTAATAATCTCATAATGTCTGGTACTCCTGTAAAATTTGCCCCATATCGTGTCCATGATGCTGATGTGAGGAACCATTGTTCATAGAAACAACCGGATGTTGTGCATGGGAATTATGGGTATTATTGCTATTTTGCATATCAATGCCCGGCATGATCGTACCACCCGGAAGTGCTTTCTGAAGGTCAGTATACACAGATTGGGGCGACTGAAGGTCCGGTTCTTGCTTTATTTCACCATTCATACCGTCGTTACTATCTCCACTCTTCTCGCTGGACATTGGTGAGTTCAGACCCAAGCCATGGTGACCTTTGTCCAATCCTTCTCTGAAAACATAAAACCATAAGTAATTACAAATGCATGCATGATATAAGAACATGTATATTACTGTTTATTTATCATTATAATTTTACTTAACAGTGAAACTGTTTGAACATATCACGATGTTGGTTGGAATAAACTTGCAACATGCTGTAAGATGTTGAGATGATTTTATAAGTACCCCATTATAAATATATCAAAATCATTTTTATAATAATATTCCTGTAGAAACGTTGTTAAAATCCGATAGTTTACAGAATCAAAGAAACACTATAAAGTTAATTTATATTAAAGGACACGATATACTCATTCTAGAGGAGCCTCTTGTCATGTTTTTTCTGGTGTATTCCATTAAAATACAAGAAAAGCATTGATGCAAAGCATCAAAGGGCGTCCAAGCAAGAAATGCAGCAAGTGAAGATGAACTAGTACACATATGATGACAAGATATTCTTATAAACTACCAGAAATGTATACCACTTATGAATGAGCGGACGGAAGACATTGTTCATTATGAACTTTGATTGGCATGCTAGAGATTAGAATATTACTTGTTATTTCTTTATGATCGTGGTTATTAATAGCAACGGATATACATGTATGCAATCATTTATAATCCATATGTGTAACGCATGATCAACACGTACCACACATTTGTCCCTTATTGTGTACATGTTGTCGCTATTAGCGAAGACCCCCTTAAGGTATCTGTTCACACTTTAAGTAAGTAAAAATATGACACTGGTTATATTACCATGTTGATCATGTTGAGCATAATTGTTTATTATACAATAATTGTAATATCTATTAATTTTAATTTAAAAAAAATACAAATTTTATGAATATTGTTTTCTTTTATTCTTTTTTGTGTTTTATGTGCTATTTTAATACTGAGTTTTTACTACTCTTTTTTATTAAAATTGTAAAATAAATTTTAAGAATTCAATTGTCATATTGATCGACGATTATAAGTAAAAGCTTAACTGGAAAAAGTCAGTAAATTATGGTTTATCTTTCAATATATAATATTGTTTATTCTTAAACCATGTACATGTACATTGTATTTTTCTTTATCATTTTTTAAATTATCGATCAATTGAATAATTCATAAAATCTAATTTGTAACTTTGAATAATTCCTCGGCATCTTTACTAAACACGGATAACAAATTGAATAATTAAATAAAATGTTTCAAAGTTGATAATGTCATTTTAATACCATAAAAAATGTACCTTTTTCTCAATTATTGTACATATCACGGATTTATATTACATATAAATCCGTGTACATATTTATTGTTTTTATCTCATATAGATAAAATGAAACATGCTATTGTTGTTTTTTTCCAATTGTAACGATATCAAACATCTACTCCAAAATCGGGAGAGACCGGACAATAAACGTGTGGTACTATTCGCCGGTCACTAGTAAATCCTGGTCAAAATAGACCGGGAGAGACCGGCATTTACCGATAGGAGTGATAAAAAGATATATCTATAAATAGGTTTTTGGAATATTTAGGTCATCAACTGATCATTCTAGGATACATGTACAACAATAACATACCATGACATGATAACCGACTGTGTACTACAAAATGATAAATAAAAAACCCCGAAGAGCGCGATTTATTGACGGAAAAGGTTATTTCATTTGTAAATGTTTGCATTGCGAAAATTCATTGTAACATATCGCGACATTTCATTCTTATTTAATAATCAAGCACCCTCATACCGATCGGAATTTTCGGCTTTTATTATGACCGACTAAAAGGCTCGAGAAGTTGCTGTCGCCCTTTCACAAAATCTGATCTCATTCCATAAGAGCGCCGCGCTTCGGCGCGGACGCCAATCATATTATACATTTATTTTATATCTCACTGAGAGTTAACTGTGCAATTGATAGAGTTTTATATGTAGTATTAGAATAAAGTTACAGATAAATAAACAAGCTGCTCATTTGATGCACTGAAACATTTTAATGTATGACTATTATCAATATACAGCAATTAAATTCATAAAATATGTTTCATTAAAGCAATACGGTCAAAGAGAAAAGTTCCTTTATACATCATTGAAAGCCTTAGACTGCTAGAGGCTTTGTCACTAATAAACTGTCAGGGCAACGTCTTTACTGTTTAATTTTTCATCTGAAAAGAGTTATTGGGCAGTTCCAAAAATGGACGCTGGAGAAGTCCATTTAAGAAATTCATCAGATCAAACGTTTAGTCGGATACTGTTTTGTAATTGATGAGTCCAAATGAGTGACATCAAATATTGTTTGATGGTGGTACATCATATATTGATGAGGTTTAAATATTTATAAGGTTTTTAACAATCCTTTCGAGCAAGACGAGCTGTCTGAATATATATTATTTCATTGTAAATTATTGAGTTTATTGAAAGATTATCTCGCGGTAATCTTAAATATGCTGTTTTATTTGCTGTACTAAAATATATGAGGCATATAACGCCAGGTTAAACCGCTGCACGTAAATCTACATATAATAAGACGTTCAAATGTAAACTGTATACTGAACACATCCTATGTTTGCTCTCTATTTTGGGAGATTTTATGATTTATTTAAAGCAGACAAGACGAGGAAATCTAACACTATTGTGCATTGTAATGAATTTTCACAATCCTTTTGAGATTTTTGTGTTACAGTCCGCCCATTTTTGTGATAATCACTTTCATAATGCTGCAATATTGATGCACAACGAGTACATCTGATGATAGACTTTTTTTAAATAAGGTTTGGTATTTAGCGCTTTTTTATGTATAATGAGAAAACTAATAATTAAACGCTCTTATTATTATAGTAAAGACATGTACATAAGGGGTCATTGTTAATGGGCCATAAATATTTGTTTTAAAAAATCTTGTATACAGACAAGATCAGTTGAACGTTTTGAAGTCCTTTTCGGACATCAAACATTTCGTCACTTATATTATAATAAAATGAGTGGGGACAACGTTCAACTAGGTGAACACACCCGTGTTGTAACTAAATGATTACAGTTATAGATGTATGGTCACGACCGGAGCGATGATTCACTCGGGTTAACCCTTATACACAACAATCAATGTCTGCTCCTAAACAAAGCCAAATATTTTGATAATTACGCATATAATGCACCTGCAAAAATATTTTTTTACAATAGATATCTTATTTTCCAAAATTTTCAAGTTTTTGAACGACTTCCAGACATGAAGATAGCATAATCTGGTCAAATTGACAAAGTAATGCAAAGGTGAATTCACTTAAACTGAGTTACAAACAAATGTAGATTAGGTTTTCTAACTAGATCGAGTTTACAATGTATATAATGTATATTCTATGAGCAATTATAAGACGGATCAACGTATGTAAGTTTATCAATCGATTTTTTACAAGTATAGTCTTGACGTTGTAAAAATAGCATGGCTGATTATCAAAAGTTTAAAAATATACAAAACGTGTATATCAAAACAATTATATTAAAAGAATATTGTATTTGTCAAGTTTTCCTACACGACCGTTCCCATCTTAAGAAAGTTATAATCACTGAGTTATTGTGATTGAACAAAACAATGCCATGTATATATTAAAAGAATCAGTAAGTTCATAAATATTTCACATTCATAATGTTGTACATGAAGTGTTGACAAGTTTTCTTAAATGTCAAAGTAAAATAAAGATTTATGTTAAAAGGGTGGCCAGACAAAGGAAATCTAGGTCACAAAATCAAATTTTTTGTGTCTTAGTTTTTGTTATAAAATAAATATACAAATAGGGTAATGCAGTATTGAAATGCATTTCTTATGTATTGTAGAGATTAGTTTTCATATAATTTAAAGGCTAAAGCTATTACCCAAGGATTGATTATAAAACGGCAAGTAGCCAATTGTATAAAGCCCGACGGTTTGTATGTATTGTAGTCTTAATGGGGTTCCAGCTCACCCTTTCAGGTACTGAGAGTACGAATCCAGGATATTTCACCATTCATGTCCTTAAAGGTTATTATTTGCCAAAAAGTGACCCATTTATTTCTAATTCAGTACTTCACTGAATGATACTAAATATATACATAAGTGGATTTTGTTATGTTTACTATATTGCTGTTCGACAGGCCAATGCCAACCTTAATTTGCATACTAGATGAAAAAAATAAATAAGTGCTATTGTAAAAGTCTAATGAGCCTGTAGACCTAGTGACTGATTTTTTTGGGTCTCTTGATCAATTAAATCGAACATTGATAATTGACAGTCTCCACTGTGATTATACGATTTGAGCCGTGTCATGACAAAACCAACATATTGGGATTGCGACCAGCATGGATCCAGACCAGCCTGCGCATCCGCGCAGTTTGATCAGGATCCATGCTGTTCGCTATCAGTAAGCGAACAGCATGGATCCTGATCAGACTGCGCGGATGCGCAGGCTGGTCTGGATCCATGCTGGTCGCAAACCCATTATGTTGGTATTGTCATGGCGCGGCTCATTTATAGTCTGCTGCTGGTGACAACAAAATCTACCCATGCGACCAGTGCAGACCAATGTTAGCCGTCACAATTCTGTCACCTCGTCACAATTCTGTCACCTCGTCACAATTCTGTCGCCTAATTATGGTCTGCACTGGTCGCTTATCAGTCAGTAATTGTTTTAGAGAACAGAAACTTTATTTTCGGGCTTGTACAAAATACCCCTGAAAATGATGAATGGTTTTGTCCATATTGAAAGGTGGGCCAGTCCATTTAAGATATTCAGCGTGGTTAGTGTGAATGAAGAAACGTTGGTATCAAACAAACTAAAGTTGTTAGAGAAAACGTGACAAAATACATGGGAATAATTTAAAATAGAATGGTTTAATGATGAATTATATGCGTCTAATTGCCTTAGCTTCATAAACAAAGAAAACTGTAATATTTCAAGAATTAAAATGGACTAAGCATTTAGAATTATTCTATTATTAATAACATATATAATGTATTTCATTATACGTTTTCAGAAAAAAAGACCAAATAAAAAAACAGCAACAAAGACCGCTGGTTTATTGTACATGTTCAAAAATATTAAACACAAAACATGATAATACATCCTATTTTAAGGTTTGTTGAAATCTAATTTTCCTAACCTATTTTATTGCTGAACGAACTATATTACAATAGCGTATCACGTATGGTCGCTGTTTGTTCATTTATTTCATCCGGACATTCTTTTTCAAATATTGAAATAACACGTTTACTTTAATGACAATTTAACAATCAGTCGCCAGCTAAAATGATCGTGAAATTTACTGAAAGCAATAGAAACTAGATTTGGGGCACTTTGTAAAGATTTGTGAACTTGAAGTGAGATACTTGAGGCCGTCTTGACTGAATAGCGATCTTATTGTGCACGATTACACGCTCCTTGCTGGTCCCAAATTTGATACTCAAACCACTAATGCTGACGTGAATACCGCAATATGAAGTAATTGTATACAATGTGCGTGCGTGCGTGCGTGCGTGCGTGTGTGTGTGTGTGTGTGTGTGCGTGTTTTATGTCTGTCTTTCTGTCTGTATGTGGACAATATATATATATATATATCTGAGGACTTAACATGTCCAGGCATTAATTATTTGTGAACCTTACATGTATATTGGTGCGGCTGCGTTGCGTGCAGACTGATAAAAAATGATAAAGTTAAGACCTCAACAGACGGTAGGATTTTGCAGTACAACACAAAATAAAACTAAGATGTACAAGTAAATCGTAATATGTGAAGGCTACTTTTTCTTGAATTCATACAACTTTATACTAGACTTACAGGATTACTTTACTCGGACTGAATCTTGGTTGTTATCTTTTATGGCAAAAAAGTATGAGATTATTCAATACACAGTCTCTTCTTATAAAACAAGCTCTTTGCTTTAAATTAGAAGCAAAAATTAAGGACGTTATAAAATAATTTAATTAATTTTAATGATCAATATTTCAATTAGATACATCAGCTCATTTAGACATCAGTATAACTATAGAGGATATATTACTATGACAACTAAACTTGAGTTTATTCATGTTTAAATCCCTTTAGTGTGAGAAATAAAATATAAAGGAACTGTAAAATGTTCCTGTGAGACCAAAAATCGACCAAAAACCCATACTAGCAGAGAGCTTCAGAATTGGGAGTGATTTACTGTCATTTAAATTTTGTCTCTGAGGGGCAATTTCAGACCTTAAGGAGATATGAACGATGGTCCATTCAAGTAATACGGAAATTGTCTTAATATTCATTATAGGAGGAAAGAGTGTAATTTGTAAATTAAGACTAATCAATGAGGGTGTCTCCAATCAATTTGCCGGGATAGGTGGTTATTAGTGAACTTGGTGAAATATTAGCCCTTCAGCATAGTCCCTGCCGTACTTTATTATAATTCCACTACTACCAGCATTACCCCAAAATCTCTTTTCTTTTCTCTCATGCTTTCTGATTCAGGAGTCAGTATATGGAGTCATGAGGGTCGTGCCAGTTACTTGAACAAACTATAATTATGTTACATGTTGTTGTTGTTGTTTTTTTTAAACCGAACTCTTAATTGAAAGTTTGTTATTATTTTATCAATATTTTGATAACGAATCACATGTATCTTTTCTTTAAATTTCATTCTTATTTATAATCTTCACTTTTTTGTAAAATCATAATTATTTTTTGCTGCTTCAATATGTATGGATGATGTTTCAAGTATCTTTTATATATACATGTCCTATAATCCGTTCTGTTCTGTTTTGTTCCTATACTCAATTACATAAGTTTTTTGTTTTTGTTTGTTTCTTTTAAATTTGCAACACAGCTGATACCTGATATAATACATAGGGTGTATATTTTGTTTTCAAGCTAAATTCAAACTTCCTTCAACTAAAATTACAATATTTTTTTAATTAACACTTTATGTATTTTCTCATAAGTAAGAAGTAGTCATTAAAATGTCACACTGCATTTTTTTACAATTATGACTTTCAGCATCAAATGTATACGTTAATGCAAATAGATGTATGTATGTAAATATATGTACACTATAATGGAAGTTATTCATTATCATTAATGTCAAATCATAACAAAAGATCATATTATCTCATATATTTCAATTATTTATCATCACATTATCTCATATATTCATCATCATCACGTTAATTATGTTGTCTGAGTATGATGTTACTACACAATAATCTGACATGCAAGTATATAAATACATTCTCAAATCAATATTACTGTTTAACCTGAGAACATTAATCCACTTAATTAATTAAAATTAAATTCAACATTAATCCACTAAATTAATTAAAATTAAATTCAACATTAATCCACTAAATTAATTAAAGTTAAATTCAAATATTAAGTGTTCAATTTTATACAAACTCATTTTTAGTCAATATTTTTTTATTTTTAATGTTATATTTTTTATATAAATGTACATCATAATTTGTTATCCTTATACATGTTTTGTTAAAATAAATTTAGAATAAATTCTTTTAATCTAATGTAATAATAACCTAATTAGCTTTATAAAAATATATAAATAATGTTTCAGAAAAATGGGGTAGGTAATGTGCAATATGAAATATTGTTTAACATCAATTTCAACATGGTAGATCTACCCTTCATAACTTGTAATAATATCAATTGACAACTAATAAAATTCAATTAAAATAAATAACAATATACATGTAATTATTATTAACTATTAACTGCAATACCTTATCATTAAACGTTGATTTTATTATTATTTATTTTTAGAATCATAATTAAAGTTGACAAAGTTTTTAACGTTCAAATTAAATAATCTTCGTTTTTGTATTTTGGAACAAGCGCCAAATCTGAATGTAGTGTTGTGTTATTCTATCTTGTAAACATATGGCGGCCATCTTGTATTGTTTTACCTAAGTACACATGTGGTGCAACTATTATAATTCACATGTACATACCCGTGTAATTAGATATACTTGGCTAAAGGTTATTCAAGTTTACATTAGTCGAAAATGTCATTTCAGTTCCGACAAAAGGTTGTTGCAAAATAGTTTAAACATTTGATATTTTGAAAAGAAATCAGTACAAAAGACTTGAATCATCTACGGGTGCCACGCGCGCTTTATTTCCAAAAATACATGACCTCGAAACGCACCTAAAGAATGTGTTTATAACTTTGTAAGAAAAGAGGTATTATCAGATGTGGGTAAAGCTATAAGATCTCAATTACCCAGAAATCCTTCAATTTCCTTGAATTTAAATTTTATTTTGCCATCGATTGTTACTAAATTAAATTAAAGTTGAATAAATCCGCGAAGAAATCCTAACGTGCAACATGTATATAGAACCAAGATGGCGGACGTAAATATTTGTTTATATTCTATGGAACCAGAGATCAACCCACCTGTCTTTTGCTTCCGCAGCTCGATCTCTTTGTCGTCGGTTTTTAAACCAATTGCTAACTTGCGTCGTCGTTAGTCCGGTGCCTTCAGATAACTCCCGTTTCTCTCTAGGAGAAGGATAGGGGTTATGTGCATACCACTCACGTAAGACAGTCCTTGATTTTTCTTTAAAACAATAACTTGTTTCTTCTCCATCCCAAATTGTTCGTGGTAAAGGAAACTTTCGTCGGACACGGTACTTGCCGACAGCCCCGAGTGGTCGACCTCGCAACTTTTCCGCTTCAATATAGTGAGCTTTAAGCCACAACGCTTGCAATTTCGGGTGGCTATGTGGTGAAAAATTATTACTTTCCAAAATTTTATACAATTCCTTAAAGTTTCCGCGATGAAACGCAACAACTGCTTTTGCTTTCAACACACTTTCGTTTTTATGTAAATGTTCACAAGCCGGAAGTGACCACAAGAACCGTGCTAGTCTGTCAATATTTCCACCTTGCTGTAACACCTCACACACGCACGCTACCTGTTCCTGTGTGAATCCAAACGATGGCAACATCGCCGGGTTCGGACTCCCGACGGTCGTCGGCGTAGGTTGTTCATGTAACATCGGCGGTATATCTCCAAACGGTCCCAAAGTTGGCCCGTTTCCCGGTCGGAAATGCACTGTAAATAAAGTAACACAATACTGTTAGGTTGTATAAACGTATGAACTGAATATCCTGTATTTTGTTCCTACCAAAGTATTATCTTGTAAATGACTGATTACACCTCATTCATTGGTTGATTCCAACGACCTCATGCTATTATCGTTATTCATTCAGCGCCAAAGAAATTAGTCACCATAGCAACTATGTCAATCACAGAAACCTGATCTAGGGAGAGGCGGAGTCAGAGAGCTATCGATTAGAACGAAAGCACGTATCCTATTACAAAACATCAGACTGATTTTAATATTTTGACTTGAAACCAAACACAAAAAGGCAACTGTGTATAAAATTAACCTTGCCTGCGTTTTTATTAGACTTTAAAGCAGTGCAAACTTTAACAAAATGTACTGCAAAGGACCCATAAAATCGCTGGTATTCATTTGAAAATCTGAATTGAATCCAACAATAATGTACTACAAATCTGATCTAATTATAGCAAACAAAAGCTAGAAATACGGATTGACAAGTCTCCTTATTTACAATGACCATGCGGCGGATCGTGATGTGACATTAAAAGAAAGGTTTTATAAAGTTGAAGTACTTGTTTGAACGTCTGTTCAACAGTATACAAAAACACGATCTGCGGAGACTTTAGCTATATAAATATTAAGCTAATATTCCAATGTAAATATTGTAAGTTACTGAAAAACGCAGTCCTCAAACATGTTTATGTATTAATACTAGATTTATTCGCGGTGTTAGTTAATTGGCTTCACAAACAGACGATTTGTTTAATTTCTGAAAACGGAAGGGATATAGAGTTTCAACGGAAAGTCTCTTGAAATGTTAGGTAAATATTTATGCTTTGTAAACAGATTATGGACAAATTAACGACAACAGAACGTTCACACTATTCGGGGAGATTTTTTTTAGGAATTCTATCTGGCATATCAGTTTCATTTCTTAAGTTAGTGTGTAATTAAAGATTAAATTATGTCCTTTTTCCATTCAATGTTAAATTCAGTAATTACTTAAACTACTGAATTGATGTATTTTTGTATAAACTGAATAGCTAATAGTGTTTCAATACAAATAATTTGAAAGAAATACTTTAAAATAACATATATTTAATCATTATAGTAAGATATTTTTTTCGGTTTACTAAATTTTACATATTTTAAACACATTTCGTGATTTAATTGACACCATCCTGGTTCAATTAAAAGAATGTGAGTCTCGTTTTGCTCGAGAACAAAAAGTAAATAAACGTGAGCGAAGAGCGGAAGTTCATTTAAGGTGCAAACGAGTGACATGTTTACAGAGAAAATATTTGTCCATCATTTACTTTTCTCTCACTAAACCCGAGTATGTCCCGACATTGTACTGGGACTAACTGTAAAACCTGCTAAAAATGTGGCGAAAGATTAACACGTAGTCCAAGTAAAACATGGAGGCTACACGGAATCATGTTGACCACATGCGGACTTTAATCAAGAGTGCCGCAACAGGGGGGTCAAACTTGACACCTGCCAGAGCGCGAGATATTCTTACCCGCATCTCCTCCGCCTGAACTGTGAAGTCACAGAATAAATATGTTGAGTTAAATTAATATATAATTTAACATTCATTTTATCAAATGACGCAATAATATTGTAATAAATTTGTTATTTAAATTGCTGCATAATTTCAATTAAATTTAAAGAAAATTGATATTTCAACCTTATAATTAACGAATTCTTCAGTTAAATTACTAGTTATCAAATATTTTTAACTAGATTGACTGACTTTTTACTATATACTTCCTAAGAAAAAAATGAATAGAACAAAATGGTTGAACTATAAAAATGAGCATTACCAGTTAACCATTCACAATGATTTCAAATCAGGTTTTAACATTATTAAAAAATACACATTGCTTATTCAAGTGAATTATGAATAGTATACATTCACTTATTCATCTCATAAAAAATACAAAAAATATTAATTTATGATTATTAAAGACTAAAAAATATATTAATTTAAAATATAATTATTTTATTATGCTTTAAAAACATAAATAATGTATATTAATCTATGGTGAAAAAGATGTGTATGAAAAATATATCAGAATTATAATAATAATAATAATAATAATAATAAGAAGAAGAAGAAGAAGAAGAAGAAGTTGATAGATTAAGAAACCAGTATGTTGTATTATTGTGATAAAGCCATTATTTTATGCGCTTTTTCATTTAATTTGAAAGGGAAATATTCTTTCCGTTGATTCATTATTTTAAGAATAAGGAGAAATATGTAGAAATGTAAAAAAATCAATTTTCATAAAAGAAAGGATATTGGAAAACTTAATATTGTTAAAAAATTAATATACAGAAAAAAAAATCTTAAAGAAAGAGTAAGTAATATTTTACCTGTAAGCAAATATCTCAGTTTAAAGTAATGTAATTTATTCCAGTTCCTCGTATCAAATTAAAAGCACGGAATTTGATCCGGCCTCCAATTAATCTAAATACAGTATCAAGTTGCTTCAATTGAACCAATTGTAGTTAATGGTCCTAATTATCAAGAGACGAACTAAACTAGATCTAGCGGCGATATTATCATAATATAGTAAGACACAATTTCATTGTTCGTAGTAAATAAATATTTGCTTAAAAAATAAATACAACGTGTAAATTTTATCAGCCCTTAACTGCAGTAACACGTGCCAGGGGCTAAGACTTTCCCAGCTGTAATGACATGGTGTATGTGTAGTAGAGGGATTCTGTTAAGATGGTGTCAAAAAGACTGGCGTGTATTTGTTTTGATATAATCATGTAAATAACGGAAAGATGACACTTCTGTTATATAATATATTTAATATATATGATAAGTAAACAGTTTATTTAATAGTAAGAAAAGCATACTGGTCGTGTTGAGCGGCCTTTAAACTGGAGACCTAATTTTTAAAGTGGAGGTATAAAGTAATAATTAAATATATATTTTGCAACGATTCTTTCTGCAACGGTCTCCGTTCTCTTTCTACGTTATAAGCTTAATTTAATTTATTAATGATATTTGTAATTATATTTTTATTTTAATTACATGTAAAGTACATCCCGGTTTAGATATGTTAATTTTCAATCTGATGTGTTAGATAAAGACAGACTGGAGTTGAAGCAAGAGCAATGACTATAAATAACGAGGAAAATGCAAATATGAAATTTGTTACCTCAATTTACACCTCTAAAACACGAAAAATTTCAAATACCACCCATGATATAACGTTAATAATGCATACTATCTGCCACTTAATCACGAGCCCAACTCTAAAATACGATGATCATAGAATAATGTCTGGGCGAGGACGCACACAAAAATCATAGTCAAACAGCGGTACAAAAAACAACAAAAAAACAACAACAACAAAACATGAAAAGACATTACAACGTCAGAAGTAACATGATGTAATATACGAACGTTCTATAGAAGAAAAAAAATCCTTAGATTAAAAGTAGGTGCAGTAGTTATTAGATTATAGACACGTAAAAATGAGAGAATATCAAAACAATTACAATGTCATGCAATCATTTATATATTAATATAAAACTTAGTGAATCAGTCCCACTTGAATAAGGTAATGTGAATGTAATACTCATTCCTAGAAAATACTCGACGATAATTTACTATGTTTTTTCAAAGGAAACGAGGCTTTTTATTTAGGGAGTAATAAATTTTGTCTAAGCTGTTAATCAGGTGATGAATTTTTCTAACAACACTTTTTGACTGTTATATGCACATTTTCGAGTTATAATGTTCAAAATTACGGAATCACGATAAGTGATTAAATACTTTCCCGTCCTCAGACGGCCATTATCCTTGCCCTAATGCACATTATACAGCTGATGTGTTAGCAACTCTGTTGTTCTCAATTATTTCAATGTTGATATTCAGCATGCTAAGGATAATTTCTGTACTAACTTATTTACGATAACAAGAAACATTATGTGATTTATTATCGATAAACTGTTTCGAAATATATTTTGTTAATACTCGATCTTTGGTTTTAATTTATGAGAGTTTACTTCGGAAGCAGATGTTTAGTTGAGATATAAGACTTTGGTACATTCGAAAAATGCAGTTCTTGAGGCGATGTCCCATTCCATAATGTTAATGTGCGGATGGGAGTGGAGCTTTATATCATTACATTACATGCTGAATGTGTTATCTCACTTTTAAATGAATGTTCAAGAAGTTGATATATTTAAATATAATTTCTAATTTATTTTATAGAAGAAAAAAAATGAATAAATATTATGAAATAAATATGGGAGAAAAAAAAGCCGGAGAGAAGACGAAATGTGTAGTTTTTTTTTAAGTAGTTCTTCTATTTGACTGCCATTTTTCCAGTTTTTTTTAATAATCATTAAACTGATAAAGAAATGAAAAATGACAAAAAGAGAGGAAAAAAAATAAATAAGTTACATGAACAGATTATTAAACTGTACATGAAGATGACACTAACTTGTGGCACAAGGAGATAACCACGTGTAGCCGCAAAATGTTGAGCTGTGGGCAAGATAACTTGATATATTATCTACCAATTATACATTTTGTTTTCTTTACGTCAGGTTGATGATAGATAGACTTAGTGATGTAGAAACACTCTCATTATCTCCTGCCATTATTTGGCCATCAATTTTTCGTGTCAAGAATTTATTAGTTTTGCGTAATATTTTCAGCTTATCACGGCTGATAACCGTCCCGACATGTCAGTTATAATTCTAGAGGATGTAACATAAAGCAACTTTCTCTCCTCTACTCTATTTCCCATTTCACACATAACGAGGAAATTTATGAAATAAATTAGCAGAAAAATGATATTTTATTATTTGAAATCTGTAACTTCTCCCCGCTTTACAAGCTGATTCCAAAATGAAGAGAATTAAAGCCAAATTAAAACTGTTTTTACGATCATATATTTTATCATCATAAAACATAAAGTGTGACGTATATTCACTAGATAAAAGCGGAGGAAATTTATCGAAAATCGATGTTTGACAAAAATATACAGGAGAATATCTCGAACTCTTAAACGTTTCAAATCAAAACAATTACTTCATACGTCGCTTTATGTATATACATTTTTTAAAAATTTTTTGTTTTACCTTCAAAATTATGCAGTATGTAGTATTTTTTCGTAACTAAATTTTCCTGTTTGGTTGTTATACCCAATGTAAAATTGAATTTATAGAATGACTGTTATTGTTATGTACATATTTTATATAAAACAATAAATAATTTAACAAAGTAAACATTTTTATGTCTTATAAACAATATGCTGTTTAATTACATTGACAACGTAAGTGAAATAAATGTTAAATAAATTACATATATATTTTTGATAACATGTATTTATATATTTTTCATTTAAAATACCATTTACTATCTATTTATCACTTTTCGTTTTTTATTTTTTAAATGTGTCTTTAAGTAATACAGCTGTTGAATATTTGAATATATTTTCTACAATTAATGCTAACTGGTCACGAAATGACGTATTGTTATCTTCTTTATTCTCATAATAAGTTTCTATGCTGACGTATAGATTATATATGATAATTAGGAAGTTCACAGACTTACAGGAAAATAACGTCATGAAATTACGAGAAAATCTGTATTGAAAACAAATATCTCCGGAAAGGAAAGAACAGAAAGTCGCGTCTTTATTGAAGTTTTTTTTGTAAAATGCAAATTAAAGATTCATCTTGTGAATTAAAGAGAAAATGTGAAGAATATTTTGCCAGAAGTTTGTCTAAATACTACAATATTTGTATGTATATTAAATTGGAAGAAAATGGACTAAATAGTTCTGGAATTATCATAATTGTTGACATGAAACGAAAATAAAATCCCTGTATCATTACAATGATTATTAATTGTAACCTTACGAACAACAGATTTTGTTTTCTTGTTTCCTAGTAACAATAGAAGTATCTTTTAATATAAAAAGAAATAAACAGAAAATAAAAAATAATTAATTAATTGAATATCTATATATGTAAATTTACACATTCCAGTGGCATAATTTGTGACATTATCTTTACATACTGGCAAAATGTGTCACTTTATTTATGCATTCTGGTAAAGTATGTCACATTTTTACACATTCTGGCATAGTGTGTCACTTTATTTATGCATTCTGGTAAAGTATGTCACATTTTTACACATTCTGGCATAGTGTGTCATATTAATAACACATTCTGGCAAAATGTGTCACATTAATTACACATTCTGGCATAGAATGTCACATTATTTACACATTCTGTCAACATGTGTCACATTAACTACACATTCTGTCAAAATGTGTCACATAAATTACACATTCTGACAAAATGTGTCACATAAAATACACATTCTGACATGATGAGTTACATTATGTTATGTGATCTGGCATCGTCACACTTTTACATATTTTGGCATAGCATTTTACATTATGTTAACATATTAGTATGGTGTGTACAATTGTTTATATAATTATACTATTGTAGAAATTTAACCTTGGAAATCAAAGTAACAAAATGAAAATCAAGGTTGCAAAATGGAAATCAAGATTAAAAAAATGAAAATCAAGGTTGCAAAGAGGAAATCAAGGTTACCAAATGAAAATCAAGGTTACTCTAAATCCTTTTGCTTGATAAATAAATAAATAAATAAATAAATAAATAAATAAATAAATAAATAAATAAATAAAATAAAATAAAATAAATAAATAAATAAATAAATAAATAAATAAATAAATAGATAAATAAATAAATTAACAAACAAACAAACAAACAAACAAAAAGAAAGAAATAAAACAAGAACAACAAAAACAATAATGATGATGATAATAACGTATTCATATTAAAAATAAAAGAAATGAAATAAATAAAAATAATCATGGATTAGCAAAAGTAACCCAAGGTTTTTAAGATACATCAGACAAGTGTGTCTATTGTTTATCTACAGGATGCATATATGCTTGTTTAAAATGTTTATGTATCCGTCAATTAATTTAAATATTTAGTTATTTCATTAAACATAATAAAGTTTTGAAATACTATAAAATAGTTTACTTAATGTAAATAAAACGATATATAATACGATTGCGTAAGACATTTTACCTGATACATAATTATGTAATAACGTTCATACTATAAATTAATACTTGATTTAACTTTACTCAATATTCTTAAAAAAAATATGTATTAACAAGTATATTTCCGGATATCATTGTAAGTAATGACGATCAGGTATCTGGTACATTATAGGACCCACCTTGATAGAACTCCGTCATGTCCGAGTACGCCTGCGCGAGGTATCGTTCTTGTCCGAAAATCATGTCGGACATTTATGTGGTCATTCCTGTTTGTTCACCAACGGAATAAAACTTTAACAGCAAAATTATTCAACACGTTTTGAATGTTTATTGCAAATTTGTTCAAACGTTACAGTATTCAGTTACATGAAAAATAAATAAATTTTCTACTTTTTCAGCAATCCGTTCAAACATGAATACTTTACGATATTTAAACTGTTATTTTTCCGGACGATATGTCACAGTATTTCCGGTATATTTATAAACTCACGTCCTTCAAACAATATACTACCACTAGAATTCTTTCAATTTGAAATTTTGTCAGTTACAACGATATAAACGTTGCAATATAAGAAAGAAATATTTTCGTGTCAAACTGATATGCCCTTCTTTTGATGCAGACGATAACATCTGAATCCTGTAGGCGCTTGATTAATTCCGACAGTTCCGCAGAAATTTGATCTTAGCCGGTGGTTGGGCGCAATGTTTGGTTAAGAAGCGCCTGTCAGACCTCAGATTAGGCGCTACTTCTTTTTAAAGTTTTTTCTTCTTAATTTGTGAGAAAAAGTTCATCAGTCCAAAACACTGACTTGTTTGTTAAATCTTACTTTAAAATCTCCTTTCCTCTATGAGTGTCATTTTTTTCTTTGTTAATTGTTTACTGGTATCTCAACCTCTGTCTGTCAAAAAGGCGTTAGGTGATCTTTAATTATACACAAAATTATTCTTGATTACACGACACCTTATAAATGAACAAATGAAAACTTGATTTTGAGATAACATTTAAAAAAACGCAACTTTCATATTACGCGCGTCCATTAATAAGAAGTGGGTTTGCACCAAGTAGTTAAATAATCATTAAGGAACTGTCTATCATTTAGATCACAGTCGTCACTGTACTACTTTATAAAATATCTAAAGTCCGTGTCACAGCCAACTCAAATTTCAAAAACTAGTACTCCCTGAATATGTCACACGGCACTTTTTCATTAGTTTCCCTTCCAGATGCTGTCTAAATGTTTAAGCGAAATCGCTTCTTAAGTTTTATCGCTTTTTCCAGATTTTTGCACCGAGCGCTACTTTTTCCATTACGTCGATTTACAAAATCTTCTCGCTGTTTCTCATTTCTCGTATCATTATAACAAATTCTCCTTTGGTTTTGTAATCAAAATATTTTTTCAGCGTCTCTGACTGACAGAATATAACATTTAAAAACATTTATCGAAACGTATACTATTTTCCCACACGCAGAAAACTTGTTGTGTGGTAAATACGCAAACGTCAAAATCATCCACCCAAATGCTTCTTTCAATAAGTATTATTAAATATGAGCAGATTGTTCAAAATTACCAACCCTGGGCTTATCAGGCGTTCATCATACAGGTCTGTCTATCACTTGGAGGTTGGCGGCAACGTTCACGAATCAGAAACCATCACACGGAGGCAGAACCCTCTAAAAATTTTAACATCTTTTTCATCAACGTTTTATATGAAGATACTTTAACTTGCTGTCAATTTTATCGCTATGTACCCGACCATGCAAAATGTCTTTTTAATTTTTTATTCGTAAAACTTCGCTGTAGGTCTGAGTATGATTTATATGATAGGTAAGAGATCACTGGCGGAATATTGTATAGTTAATAAGCATCTCTGTGGTAAAGATTTAGATTTTGATTAAGCTACTAATTAACTACAAACACTTTATACTTCGTAAAACAGTCATATCCTTGCACATGTAAGGTTGTAAACTAGAAACGGTTGTTTTATTGTAGAAATGTCTCTCAAGTGTTTGTACGTTATGCACCCAAACATCTGAGATATGGTGTTTACAACCGTTCCCTCGTATCTCTTTATTGTAACAGTGCATTTACTGCGAATTCTGTTACAAAATATAAGCGTTCCAGTAATATCTAAGGCAAAATATAGAGACACATGTATCTAAGTTCGACAACTATTGAGTAGCTAACGTGTATGGAAATCGTTAGTCTCATTGCAGTAGTCTCCCTTGATTTTCTATATATCGCTATTGATATTAGGCGTGCATGTTCATGGAGCTAACAAAAATGTTCTATGACCATCGCCGAAATAAACCCTTATCGTGCTGCGATGCAACAAACTCAGGAGACAATTTATAGTTGTCGAGAAAAGAATGACCGCTAAATGAGAAATAATAAACATGTCGTGATTTTGGCGGGTAAGAAACGTTCGCACTAAATCTTAACGTCAATTTGCTAGCGTTATAACCTTATGGAGAAAATCGCATTGTGGGATCTGAAATTGATGTAGAAAATCCCTAAATATGTCACATGTAGTTCAAAAATAAGAAGAAAAAAAAGAAAGAAAGAAATATTCGCATTCGCAAACCGCCCGACGACCATTAAATAAATTTAGCCACGGACAATAACATTTTCGTTAGATTTTTTAATTTTTTTCTACTTGTCTTCAAATTAAAATCACGTGTAATAAAATCTCAGATGAACTTATACATTTGTAAATGCTTTAAAGACATTAAAGTTTTAAATATAAAAAATAACAATATATATTGTTTAAAACGAATTAGAATAAGCAGAAATAAGTAGTGCATTATTATTATTATTTTTATTATTATTATTATTATTATTATTATTATTATTATTATTATTATTATTATTATTATTATTATTATGTCACAGGAATCACAAACAACAACAACAACATTGAGTGAAACTTAAAATGGTATTGACGTATTTTCAACTTTCGTGTGTTGTAAAATTGTAAATAAATGTTTACACGTCACTAATATATTAAATTGATGCAAGAGAAACATAATTTCAATGCCTAAATGTTTAAATCCAATAGATCCGTTCTGTTCTGTTCAATTACAATCTGAAATAATATACGGCTAAATATATTTTATTTATTTATTCGTTTATTTATTCATTCATTCATTCATTCATTCATTCATTCATTCATTCATTCATTCATTCATTCATTCATTCATTCATTCATTTATTTATTTATTTATTTATTTATTTATTTATTTATTTATTTATTTATTTATTTATTTATTTATTTATTTATTTATTTATTTATTTATTTATTTATTCGATTCGTATATTTTATTCATTTATTTATTATTCATTTAGCTATTTTTAACTTATTCAACTCTCAAATTCTTTTTGCAAAACAAAGCAATACGTACAAAACATAATTCATTGATTTTATATTTTTATGCGGCTTAGTCGCGTTATAATTATGCGTTTTAACTCTTTATAACCAAATTACAATTTTTGATTTTGAAAAAAGAAGGAGAAGAAAAACTAATAAAAATAAAAATAATAATAATAATAATAATAATAATAATAATAATAATAATAATAGAAATTTTACTTACTCATCTATGCTGGATGAATGAATTAAAATATTTGTTTATCCAATTATTTATCCTTTTATCCGCATATACAGATTCAGTGAATTAAGGATTGATCCTTCTTTTACACTTCGAAAGCTTTTATCTGATAAGCCCCATGCACAAGTACTGCACCCTACTGGCCCTAGCCTGCAGTAAGTATTCCTGCGAGAAATCGGCACGGACAAGTAGTCCGTAAGACTAGAGATATTGTGGTTTACGGTTAAGTACTTTTTTCATTTAAAGTAATTTTTTAAAAAAGAAATGACTATCGCTTAAAGTAAGGTAATACGATCCCTATTTCTCCGGTATTAAGCTATGGGGAACTGTTTACAGTAAATTTAGTTTTATATAGTTAAACACCTTATTTGGTCTAATTTTAATTTTGTTTGAAGAAATACATCGAAAAGTGGTTATTACAGAAAACTGATCCCTACCTCAGGAATATTTTGGACAAAGGCATATAAAAAGTTCAGTTTTTGTTCAAAAAGATCAAATGAATAGGACCGACGGGTGAACAAACAGGGTTGATTAATTGGTCTTGGGTGACACTTGGTTAACATTTGATGAGTGCCGAAGATCAAATAAGGTCACGGCGTTGTAACAGATACCTCGGATAAATACGTTAACCATTAGTTATCAAATTTATCAAAGGCATTCTGATAAATCAAATATCTTTCGATGAAAAAAAATTAAACAGGTAATGCTATGTTAGGCAGCAAAAGATTCGCCGTAACTTTCTTGTGATTAACATTTCCATATCATATAAGTTACATATTAGAAAAAAACTACATGCCACAAACCCTACTAAAAGTTGGTTTGATTTTGAAATTAAACCCGCTACATAGCATTTCCTATAATTTTTGTATTTACCCCGCCTGATTTAGATGTGTAAGTTTATATTACATTTATCAGTTTATCTACATTTGAGCTGTTATAAAATGATATTTGATATTGTTTAAATATCTAAAGAATTCACCGCATATATCAACTCACATTTAGTAACATTTTCTTGGGAATAGATCGCTTTCATATTACATATATACGTACATATGCCGTATAGTATTGAACTTATCGTTATGTTATTTGTAAATATGTACATGGCTGCCTTTTTCAACGTAACTCATATTGTCTGGGTTTGTTAATATTGCAGCTTATTATCAATCATTTTATATGAAATAATTCATTAGATGATTTATCATGAAATTATTTCACTGACATTTTAATAACTTTGTGTAAAGAAGATCATATATATACAGCAGCGAGTTTTATGAATTAGCTTTAAAGCTGCCCACCTCTAAATGAGCCAAAAAGTTTCAAGAAGATAAAACTTGAGAAAAATGTACTAAGACTGTAAAGGAAAGAAAAAAAGATTCAAGATTTAATTAATGACTGACATGGCATGAATGATTAATGACAACTTTCGTTCTTTAATTTTCATCATATTTCAAGCGCGTGACTAACGTAGTAAGGACTATTTTTACATTACAAAAAAGAGGTAATTTCCGTGAATTGTAAGAACCATTTGCAACGTGTAAATTACCTGTTTTTGTTCACTTCACAATATTTATCTTCTAAAATTTCCCGTTCACATTTTTTTGATGAAAGTAAGCATGAATCTGGAGTTATTCTTCTTTAAAGGCGTATACTAGAGTTATTTATAGACATAAAGCGATATAACAATACCGGTCAGAACATATCTGGTACAGACATTACATCAAGTTGTAAAACTATAGTAAGGATTTCATTTCAAGAATAGAATTGCGATCTGGAGTAGTAAGAATGTTATTCAAGAATCAATCGTGTAAAACAATACTCAATATCGCATTACAAACTTGAATTAATTCCTGTTTTAAAGTAGATCACTGCGACCTAATGGATGAGAAAACACATTTTATTGTTAATGTTGGAACTTTCGAACATAAACCTGGCATTTCCCACTTCTCTCTGAAAAAGCAACGCTAAAATTGTCACTTGAAATATTTGAGCTCTTTTTCATTCCAAAAGGAAACCTTTTCGATGGCTTGTGGTCTTGAATTTTAAGAAGATGTTGCCACGAGGCTGCAGTTTCATTTTCTGGTCATCTCTTACTGATCAGTAGAGTTCAAAGTTTTTGTATTACAGGCATTTGTTAGAAACATTAATAGTGATTTCTTTGGTTTTGTGCCATTCTTTTAAATGGACATTTTGCTGTATTGAAAATATCTTATTTCAGAAGTGAATGAAATGTTAAATTTTTATAACAATAAATGATTTCCATATCAGATGTTGGGGACAGCATCTGTACCATGTCGACGGTAATGTTAATATTTTAATTTAAAAAATGTCAGATTATATATTAGTTAGCGACTGATATATCCGTGTGTGGTCTGTGTATTATGATTGTATTGATTTATTCATACAATTATCTTAAATTTGTAACATATGTTGCTGCATATATTCAAGACGATCGGTTAAAAGCAACACTTTAACACAGACGACATAGGGGTTGAAATATCGCTTAACAAATTCACTCAGACACATTGATATATTTTTTCAGTTTACTGGAAATATTATGAATCATTTTTCGCTGACAAAAATATAATGAAACTATCCATAGAGTATCAAAATTCGGATTCATTTCCTTATATTCAGACAAGAACGATAAATCAAAGCATAATTACATTTAATCGATGTTCGTCAGACGCTTAATATTTGCAATCAGACTCAGAGACAAGCTTTGCATCTCAGTGTGACCAAGACGCTATATTTTTCCAAAATCAGTCTTCTTATCACTCGGAAGAAAATTGAGATTCAGAGAAAGCAATTATGTACATTGCAGATTT